GTAGGCGTAGAGCTGACAGACATGGCAGCATTGTGAGGCAAGGGCTTAAACATGTACGGCTGGAAGCCTTCTACACCAAACCAAGCTTCTGCCGCCCTGGCGTCCTCTTCCACAACCTCTTCATCCCCGCTTTCCTTCTCTAATTAAAAAATGTATGAAGGAGGAGACTCATCCACGACCTACGACACTAAACTCTCCTCCTCTTACATGTTTCCTCTGTCCATAGCATTCCTTGATAATGTCGTTTTCAAGTTACCAAGTTAGTGCTACTTGGTTCCAACTGAATTTGGCATTGGGAGCCTACTAGCATTAAGTTGCTAACTGGTTAGCAAGATGCTTCCAACAAACCGGCTACAACCAAACTTGCTTGCAAACCTTCCACCACAACAATCCCGCCCCCTTGATAAACGATCAAACACGTTCACTTTATTCATTTTTGTGAAGTCGGACACCACTCAGGAGAATTTGGAAATGAAACGGTTGAAACAGCTGCTTCCCTACGACTTTAAGCCTGAAAGGAAGTTTGTTATTACCATAATAAACGCTATCCGAAAATCTTTCACCTAAGCCAACATGCTGGGAGACACATTTAGTTTGCATTAATTATCTGGTCCATATTTAGCTCTGATATTCTAAAACTTAATACTTCTGGACTTTTTTGAGTCTGATGCTGAAGCTGTCAATAGTCACTGTTGCTCATGACGCACACATGGACCCCAAAAAATACTGTTGCTATCGTAAACGCAGACCAATAGAAATGCGTCTTTGTTCCTAACTCCAGAGGAAATCCCGCCCCCAGAAGTAAAGAGAATATGATCTGGAATTTGAAGATAATGAAATGAATAAAACTCAATCTTAAAAGAGAAATTTGAAAATATAATACATAACAAAAAATAGAAATAAAATAATTTGCAAAAAATAAAATTTGTGAAAACAAGTAATTCTCAAAACAACTTTTTAAAAATAGAATTTCTTCATAGCTTAATTTCTATTTTGCATTTGTTTTACTTTTCAAATTTTCTTTCTTAAAAGGTGTTCTTTAATTAGAACAATCCTGTAACAAACTTCCCTCCATATACCGGTACCTGAGGTATTGGCGAGAAAGTTGAAACAGTTGAATTCTGTTAGTGGTTTCATCGCTGGATAAGAGGACTGTGTCGAGAGCAAAGCTTTCATGTCCATTTAAGTGTGCTTACTTTTTCCACTTGGTTGTTCTTTCAGACATTTTCCTCAAAAGTTTCCCAGTGCAACCAGAGGAGCTGAAGGACAAACTGTTTATTATTAACGAGGAAGAAGGAGGCCTGTCTGATGAGCACATCACCTCTCTAAGAAGGTACGACTTCTGCCAAAAACATGCTAATTAGTATGCAATACCCTAACTCCTCTCTTTACAACTGAGTTGAGATTTGATTGATATAATCAGCTCATGCCTGAGAGGGTTTAGCATTTTTTTATCTGCATTAAACAAAACTTGCAACTCACCAATCATAACCAAGAAAGAATGGAGTTTGCTGGTTTATCTAGGAGATATGAATAAAGGGAAAACAGGACACATGGTTTACACAAGAGCTTTCACAATCTTTTAAACTAAAAAAAACCTTTTATCAGAATGGCCGACTAATAAAAGTTTTATTTATGGCTATTTGTGGAGATGGAAACTATTGACATACCCCCAGGAATAAGTCAGTGGAAGGAAATGGAACGCTTCCTGACTCTTACCTGCAGTTTACTTGGTAGCTTGGGACATTTTTCCTCCTGTAAGGCAAAAGTGATCTAAGGTACTCTGATGTGGAGGATTTTATTTATTCTATGAAAACGTAATATATATTTTAATGCGCCCTGGCATAAGGCCGAGGGAAGGGACTACTCCCAACAGGTGCTGCAATATTAATGGCCACTGCTGTGCTCCACTGGCACAGCGGAGGACTTCTCTTGTTGAGAGGAGAATCCGTTTGGTTTCGGGGTCAGAACATCACTGAAATGACTGGAAAAGAAACTCCTATTGAGAGAGTTCAGATTCAGTGCCAGCGAATACACAGCAGCTCCCATCAGCGTCTCGCTGCTTTACAGATCCTGACAAAAACCATCAACCTAACTTGGCTCTGAATAATTCCTCCGGGCCTTTGTAAAGCAGTCTAATAGCCTGCAGCCTTAAAAAAATAAGAGTCGTTTGAATACAGAGAGGGAATTTTTTTATGAATTATTTCTCACTAAACAGATGTCAGATTCAAATATGATTAAAGGCTCTGTTCTTACATGGAAAAAAAAGAGATATGACTTAAAGTTGTAGGAAAATCATATTTAAATGTGAAATCATTCTGGCTTAAACTTTATCAGACCAAAAATTTGAAAATTTCTATTTAAAAAAAGATCCTGTCTTAAAATCTGTGTCTTTTTTCCTATTATCTTATGCAGGCCAGTTAATTATACATCAGCTTGTACACCTAAATTCCGCCAATCATATATCAACGGTCATCTGTCAATCAATTTATTCGGTCATAGCATCTTGATTCATATGTCGCAGCTAATATACGCAATGGTTGAAATAAGCAACAAGAATCATTTCCTTTCCCATTGAGTTGCGTCCCAGTGTTCACGGGGATGGACGTCTGCGTCTTCGGCAGGCGTAGAGCT